TAATACATGGAAAACAAATAAACTCTAATCATGTCTTTATTGAATATGGATTGCCATTTTTCCCCTTCAGTCAGTTGTTCCACTCAGGATGTCTATTATATTGAAAGTTGTCACTTGAAAATTAAAAAAGACCAGCAGGAGGTAAATTGTTCAATGTAGGTTTTTGATAGTCAGCATCTTGGACTACAAACTGGCAAATCACTCTTGTAATATCTCAATCCAGCAGAATTTTCTTAAACCATTTTAGAATATTTCTAAAGCTTTAAGAACCAAAAAAAGAAACCCACACAAAAGAAATAAACAATGGCTTTGGATACCCAATAATGTAAGAAGGATGCTAGTATTACTATGGTATCAAGTACAATAGATGCAATTTTCTGTGATATAAAATCAATGAAGGTAGAACCTTTACTGTTAAAAAGTGACATCCCATAAACGAAAGGAACCAAAAGAGGCACAAAAGGATTGAATAGATATTTACAGAATATTTCTTTTTCTGGCAGTAAATAAATTAAGATATTCATGTCTAAGGGGAAAACTTTCTAGAAATCATTTGAAATAAAATGATTGAATGCCTACAATGGAAACATTTTCAAACTGTATCACTTAATGTTAATGATAGTCAGAAAATGTTCCAAATTTGAAGAATTCTTTTCTAAGGATTTCTTTTATGTCTTTATTTCGTAAACTGTAAATGAAGGGATTGACAATGGGGGTAAGAACCGTATATACAAAAGAAAAGCCCTTTTTCATATCTTCAAATTTTCCAGTGGTTGGCAAAATGTAAACAAACATTAAGGATCCATAAAAAATAGAAACTACAGTAAGATGGGAAGAACAAGTGGAAAATGCCTTCTTCTTCCCATCCAGAGATGGGATTTTTAGAATTGCTCTAATAATAAGTGCATAGAATGAAACAGTTATGAAAAATGTAGATAGAAGTCCTACAGTTGATGTCATTAAAGCCACACTTTCAATCATCCAAGTGTCACTGCAAGAAAGTCTTACCAGGGGTGTGAAATCACAAAAGAAATGGTCAATTTTGTATCGATTACAGAATGTGAGTTGTGTCAACAAGGATGTTAAAATTGTGATAAGAAATGAACCATTTATCCAAGATATAGTAACTAGCAAGATGCATGTTTTGTTGTTCATAATAAGGACATAATGGAAGGGTCTACATATAGCTAGATAACGATCGTATGACATTGCTGCCAAAAGGTAACACTCTGTAGCTCCCAGTGTGCAAAAGAAATGCATTTGTAAAATGCAACCCCAAAAAGAAATTGACCTCTTTCCAGAAAGGAAAGTGCCCAGCATTTTAGGTATTATAACTGTGGTGTAGCAGATCTCCAAGTAGGAGAGATTCGAAAGGAAGAAATACATAGGAGTGTGGAGATGCTTTTCCATCATGACCAATGTAATTATGAGAAGGTTTCCAGATAATGTGACAGTATAAATTGTTAGAAATAATATGAACAGGAGAGGATTAATGTTTTTAGTATTCCCAAATCCAAGAAGGATGAATTCTTTTATTCTTGATGTGTTCTGCCATTCTGAAGACTTTTCAAGCAGCATCTATTCATAAAACATCAACCATTCATTATCTGGAAGTATATGGAACATATAAACATACTGAAATATATATCAGGTTTTTATAAAGTCAGAACTTGTATAATTTTTATTAGATTACTAGCATATATTTTGTATATCATATATTGTTAATTTTTAATATATTACTAGCATATATTGC